AAAATTTCCGAAAATTCGTCAATTTTTCGGGAAGGGGGGGGGGGGGTGGTCGTCCCCCACCGCCCCACCAAGATTTCCGCCACTGGTGAGGACGATGGAAAATCCAGGGGTGGGGTGTAAAAAAGGCCTTGGAAAATCCAGGGGTAGGAGTGATTAGAGACCAAAATCCAGGCTCTTTTCCAGAGAAGGGGGTTATAAACTAAATTCCAGGCAAATTTAGCTGGTAAAAAGATCCTCAACCCCCCCTCCCCTCCCCTCCCCAATGTGCGAAAAATAAATGCAATCTGCCATTTTGGTGTCAGTGATGACAGCAAAGTGTGCAGTGGTAAAAAGTAAAAATATGCAGTGGAAAAAATTGTGTGGTGATTACAAAACCAACTCAAACTTTCAAAATTAATTTAAATCATAATAATCATTTTATCGAAATTTAATTGGCCTGAAACTGAGTTTATATTATCCATTTCCAGCAAAATATCCTGGGGGGAGAGGGGGCAGAGGTCTAGCTTCCAGAACTACATTCATGAAATATGTTCATGTAAGAAAGATATCGAGAGATATAAGAAGACAGCTAGAATTTTGAAGTTAATTTTAAAAGAGTTTCTGTCAAAAAACAGAAATACAGGTCTATTTCCGCCGGATTGGTCACATGATTGAGATCAGTGCCTTCAGGCAATCACGTTGCCATATATGGCCTCCCATAAGGCTTAGTGCGAGCACATTTCAAGCGCATCGTTTGGAAATTTTATTTTAATGTCGGTTGATATGGTCAAGATTTCTTAAAATATTGAAGAAAATAAGAAGGGATACTCCATTGTTTGAAGATTCAGACATAATATTAAATGTAAGTGTTCAACTATGTCAATATTTTTAAGTTTATTTAAACTATTTTAACTGACTCGTTTGTCATCAATAGGAATTAAATAGCTATTTTATAGTGAGATTCCGTCAATTACTCTTTCAAATAGGATTTGAATATCTATTTCAAAGCTATTTTTTTGAAAAATATATATAACCTATATTTTAAATAGGGTGTAAATAGTCATATACTATTTTATGAAATTTGATAAATAGTAATAAAATAGACATATTTTTGAAAAAATACGGAAAAAATAGGGCTAAATAGAGAAAAAATAGGTATAAAATAGGTTATAAATATGTCGGATTCTACAGCGCGCATTATGTACTATTTACAACATAAGCATGTTCATGTAAGAAAGATATCGAGAGATATAAATATGTTCATGTAAGAAAGATATCGAGAGATATAAGAAGACAGCTAGAATTTTGAAGTTAATTTTAAAAGAGTTTCTGTCAAAAAACAGAAATACAGGTCTATTTGCGCCGGATTGGTCACATGATTGAGATCAGTGCCTTCAGGCAATCACGTTGCCATATATGGCCTCCCATAAGGCTTAGTGCGAGCACATTTCAAGCGCATCGTTTGGAAATTTTATTTTAATGTCGGTTGATATGGTCAAGATTTCTTAAAATATTGAAGAAAATAAGAAGGGATACTCCATTGTTTGAAGATTCAGACAATAATATTAAATGTAAGTGTTCAACTATGTCAATATTTTTAAGTTTATTTAAACTATTTTAACTGACTCGTTTGTCATCAATAGGAATTAAATAGCTATTTTATAGTGAGATTCCGTCAATTACTCTTTCAAATAGGATTTGAATATCTATTTCAAAGCTATTTTTTTGAAAAATATATATAACCTATATTTTAAATAGGGTGTAAATAGTCATATACTATTTTATGAAATTTGATAAATAGTAATAAAATAGAAATATTTTTGAAAAAATACGGAAAAAATAGGGCTAAATAGAGAAAAAATAGGTATAAAATAGGTTATAAATATGTCGGATTCTACAGCGCGCATTATGTACTATTTACAACATAAGCAGCCGTGTTGTATCAGATATACAAATGTGAAACGTCTTGATGAGGACATTCATATTCTTCAACAATTTAAAATAAATTAATGATATTTGGTAAGAAAATTGAACTTGATTAGTTTATGCAAGTCAACATCAACCTGTATCACATTTTCAAACTCCTTCATGCCTGTGATTTCTTTTGTGTTTTCTTCACATGTGCTTTCTTCATAAGGAGTTTCACAATGTATATTTTCTTTTGTACAGTTATTCTTGAGTTCTATGTAATTTATTACACAGGGTGTCCCAAAAAATTATTATACAGGGTGTCATATTTGGTGGTACGTATTACTTTGCTATATTTAATCAAAAGTTCAATTTTTTGCAGTGGGTTGAAAAACAATCATATTAATATATTATATTGTATTTATCTCACCAAAAGACTTAACCGTTCGGCTTCTAGTGATACTTAAGGTGGTGACACCAATTTTGCAACTCGTCCAAATTACAGAAATTAGGTTAAAAATGATGCAAACTTTGTAGAAGATTTTTAAAGTTTCTATCCATCTTTCTGCTCAAAAACAAAATGATTTTTATCTCTATTATTAAACTTTGTTTCTTGTAGAAATTAATAAAAAAAGATGAAAAATCCCTGGAAAATAGACAAAGCACAAGCAAATGTTGGGATTTCAGCACTAGTCTTTACCCTTTTCTGGGGATTTGCTTCATTATTTTTACAGAAAATTAACTGGCGATTTTGGCTACAACTAATTACAAATCTTAGAAAAGATATGTAGCCATTTACCATTAAAATATTTTATTATGTTTCGTAATATGTTTAAACCTAATATCCACAATTTGGACAAGTGGCAATATTGGTGTCGCCACCTTAAGTAACTCTAGAAGGCGACCGGTTAAATATTTTGGTGCGAAAAAATGCAACGATCAACATAATATGTACATTGATAAATAAATGAAAAAATTTGAATATTCGATTACAGGTAACGATGTAGTACCACAAAATATGATATGGGGCATTTTTTTGGGACACCCTGTATACAGTTATTTTTACATTTCAGTTAATTGTTTGATAAGTTCAACTTTACTCTTTCTACTATATCCTCTTGCATTACACCTTTTCAGTTATTTCCTTAATTGTTAACCTAGAATAATCCACATTGCCACTACTGTTACTAGGGGCAGGTGTCATGGATAGTAGCTGAATGGATACTTGGTATACCTTCATTTGACTGGTCATTAGATTGGTTTATAGGATCCTCATTCACTTGCTGACTAGCATGTTTTCTTTTTTGCCTGCTTTCTGTGATCCCACTTTCCCAATATATATCATTCGCGGAGTATCTTCTTTCACAATCCTGGAAAGCGGCTTCTTTCACAATCCTGTATAGCCTTTTCTCATGTCGAAGTACATTCCACCCCCTGTCCTGCAAAAATCTTTACTGGCCCATAAAGCTCTAAAAACATTAGAAAGTGCTGTACCATGATGTGCATATAGGAGGTCATAGCCCTCCCTCTTACCATTAATTGAAAGGAATAGTTTTACCCAGTCCTTAGCCATTATCCATAATTTTGTTGGATTTTCTTCAGGGCTCCAGTTAGTTATTACTTTATATCGCTCATCAAAACCTTTCCATATTGTAATAATTCCATCAACAGTTTGTGGGTGAAAAATTGCAGTCATCGTTTGAGTAATTCTGCCAGAAGATGCTTCTTATCTGACCCCATCAAGCTGGTCCTGTCATGTTGGCCACTCGATTTCCCATCAGCATCTCTCTTTTCCCACACATCAAAAGACACACCACAAGATCTAACCGTCTCAATTAGCTTCTGTAGGTGAAATCCACAAACTGAACCTCTTGGATAGTCAATATCTTCCTCTTTGTCCCCATCAATGCATTCCAACACCAAGTTTCCAGTAAGAATATCTGTCACACAAAGTAGCAGTTCATCTGGTACAACATGGTCAAGATCAATGTTAAACAAGGGTGGTTGATAACAACTGTAATTTTCTTTTGACTTTGTGCACATAACATGCATTTCTTCCAACAACCTCAACATTTGAGGCTTATTAAAATAAGTGTAATGTTCATCCATTTTTAGGGGTGCACCGGATTCCAAATCCGGCCGGATTTCTGGCCGGATTTAACAAATTTTCCGGTATCCGGATTTAAATTTCTGTTTTTGCCCTTAAAAAATTCACCAAGAATGGGATAAACCATCAATTTGGCAGCTTTAAAGTTTAAAAAAGACTAATATTATTGTAAAATATTAAGTTATAAACAAAACAATATTTAAAAAAGGTTTAAACACAATAAAAAATCTAAACTGATACTAACTAAAAATAGTAAAAAACAAACCGCCATTTTGAATACTGATTTATTCCCAATTGTCCCCATTGCCGATTTATCTCAAATCCGGTTCCGGCTGGATTTGAAAATTCCAAATCCGGTGCACCCCTATCCATTTTCCACTGTGTAATTTACATCCAGCACAGGCATAATTTGATGTATTCATTCAATGTTTATGTTTTTACCTACTTTTACTTTTCTAGCAGCAACAAGTTTATTTATTTCACTGATTATATCTCCAAAAGACTCCTTGATTGTATTGTAGTCCTCCTTCCCATTTACAATTCCAATTGTTCTGTTTCCCTTAGCTGACATAACACTTTCACCAGTTTGCAAAATGGCAAATGATTAGAATTATTTGTCATTTTTGCCCCATCACCACTGATTTTAATTCGAATAGAACCAGTCTCTGTACAAAAACCCATATTTTTGTTTATATAGTCTGCAATATGATCTGCTAATAGATTTTCCACTGAACTGACTTTTGCTCCAGGGAACTTGCCTTTCAATCCTTCTAGGTCACACATGTTGTTTAAATCTTGGTGGCATTGCTTTACCAAATATGACCTTGGTAGGCCATCAACCATCATTGATTGTTTGTGGTAAAAGTTATCTCCTACACAGAACTTGTCAAGAAGAAACAGGATTTGCTCAATTCTGTTCTTTTCTCCTTCTGGCAAAGTGCTGAAAGTTGAGGCCCTACAAGGTTCATCATTGGAAGATGTTGGTTCCGGAATGGAATTTTCTTGTTGGAAATTCACAATATGAACCTGTCCAGTTTCATGCTCTTTAACTTTCAGAGTATCTAACTCAAGGCCAAATGATGAGGCAAACCATAATGCCATGTTTGTCCTTGATATAAATGTTTTCAAAGTCCTAGTTTTATTCTTGGCTTCTGATACAGGCTTACCCTGGAAGGATCTAACACCACCATGTTCATGTCAAAGTGATTCAGCAATTCTTCTGTAGATCTGCAAATGATGATTTTAGTGGAGAAAAGAGTTTTGTGTATGGCAAATCAGTTGCAAACCAGCAGATAGAGGGATAGTGGTCCATGCTTCAAAAGCAGTACACGGATTGGTGGATAAAATATTTTAAGCGACAGAGGGTTATTTTCTGATGATGACATGATACAAAGAGAATGCTTGAAATTTTGTTTTATGTATGTGCTACAGAAGGAGCTTCACAAGATAGCACAGCATTGGAACACACATCAAATACAACCACCCACTAATCCAGAATTGCCTCCAGGTCGACCTGACATCCTGTACTTTCTTCCCCAATCTACTGATACGTTTGATTATGCTACACCAGTGAGATTGGACGAGATGATTGCCGAAGATGAATTTGCAGAAACTCATGCGAGAGGGTGCAGTACTTCTATGAACTTGCTGAAATGATTATGCAGGATGAAAGATTACAAATGCCTGAAACTGCAGCAGAAACCGAAAAACTTGTACACTACCTTACTTAATTTGATTAATGATTTGTCATAAACCTAAAGCAGATATTAATGCCTATATACTAAACACATATTCCCGTTCTACTCACAAGTCTTGATAAGGCCACATAAAAAAATAGTTGGTTAGCATCCCCGCCCGCCCACAAAAAAGGCCCCGCTCAGGACTGTTTTTTATTTTTTATTTAAAAAAAAAACTTTTATTGATCAACGGGCTCAAATGTATCTAGTATTTCTGTTGACTGTAGTCAATTGTGCTAATAATTTGCAAAATTGTGTGGGAAAATGACGGTATGAATCATATTTTGAAATATATAAAAAAATATCTGTACTGCGCAAGAAAATCCAGTTTCGGACCTAACAGTGAGTAAAACCAAGGCGTTAAAAATTACTAAAAATTTTAAAAAAGCGCCCGCCCGCCCACTTTTTGGCAAAAGCTAAGGATGCTAACCAACTATTTTTTTTTATGTGGCCTAAATGATCACTTTAAAACTGTGGCAATTGATATACCAGGCAGAAATCTTAATTTAAAGATAAAAAGCAAATAACTTTAAAAGCAAAGATAATAATAGTTTAAAAATTTAAATAGTGAACATTTCGTTGTTTACAATACAGCATCTTCAGAGCAATCTAAATGAATTTACACAGTATGGTATTTATATTTGCTATTGATATTGTATTGTAAACAATGAAACGTTAGCTATAATAGAAGGTCCCACTTATTTTTTTACTTGTCTAATGCCATACGATTTTACTCATCAATGGGGACGTTCTGCAGCTTAATGGGTTAACCTTTTTATTTTAACCTTTTGCATAATGCTAGTTTTATTCACCTTTCGCTTAAATCTATTGGAATGGGATGATTTTGATTAATATAAAGATATTTGTGAGATGTGGTCTTTTTGTCAGTTTGTCCAACACCAACACGTTTTGGAATTCCATTTAATTTCAACGAAGTGCATTACAAACTGTCAAAAGTAACAAACTACAAAGAACAATGACTTAAAATACAGCTATTTCGACAAAGATTGTTACAGGCAATGGTCAAATGGGCAATATGTGGGTATGATATATCTATATTGTTAGTATAAAGTTCCAGGTACATCACACCAACTTATCCAGTTAATATAATTAATATAATTATCATCAAAGGGTAAAATGATGAAGGGGAGCACCTTTTGCATGCTAGCAGGTTAACAAGAACACTGTAAAAAAATATGAAAAATGTGCATCCAGGAAAGGATATTTAACACAGTCGAACCTTCCAAGTTCAAAGGTCATGTCCAAAGCATCCACATGGAAACATTTTCCTCTTGCTTTTTTTATAATATGCATGGCATTTGCATCTAAGGTCATAGAAATTTCCCTAGCTCCCCCACCTTTACTTTACTGTACCGTATAGACACATATCTTGTTCCATTGTAGGGTGCACTCAAATTAATATCTGATATGTGCCTATATGCATGAACCCTAAATATATTATTGTATTCTGTCTAATGCCAGATAATTTTACTTTTCAAAGAGAGAGTCTTCATTGAATGTGTATTGTTAACCAATTATGCTGCTATTAGGGCCTACTTTATTATTTTATTAGCCCTGTCTAATGTCCTGTTTTACTTGACAGGGGGTTCTTGCACTTTTTCACACATATGTACGAATATTACAGCATTACAAATACTGTGCTTTAAAATATTTTCTGTTTTTTCTTTTGCCATATGAAATTTTGCAGTTTCCAGATTTTATGATTATGGTATATTCGGAGTCTTATATAAAGGTTCAGGGTATACTCACTTGGGGACTGTCCACATTCCTCCACCTGGTAAAGCGGAAATTTTCCTATCAAATGTATTGCCACTCATTTACAGCACATTACTTCGGGAAAATTTGAATAATTTGGATTCAATTTGGGCAACATATGTAATGAATTTGTCATTTGGCACTGTAAATCCACCAAATGTTTTTGATTCATAGCCTTTAAAATAGCAGAAGAGCTTAGAACTGCTGTCATGATTGGGATTGACAAGACTTTATTTGCAAGCATTACATTGATGTTTCTTGAGGGCTTTGACAGCTAGATAAGCAGCAGCATATGTGATAACCTGAAGCTCAGGCCCTAATCACAGAAGAGGGCCTGACACAAAACCTATCTAAACTGTGAGATTCCCGTCCATAGAGTGGACGGAAAATTTGATCGGTTGATCAGCATCATGGAGGATTTTGATTGGTTGCAAGTTCAAATAAACAACAGTTTTAAAAATAGCTCTATCAAGGGCTCAAGGTGACAATTAATATAAAGAACAAGCACATAACAAATTCCATTGTCGATTTCTTCGAATTTCTTTTCTTTTATGCTTTATGGCAGAAAATAAATCAAGCAAACAGTATTATGAAAGGGCTTTATCAAAATCTTTGACGAATTTTGGACACACAACGCTGAAAGAAAAGCCAAACTAGCCATGTATTCGAAAGCTTGTTGTTGACAGCCAAGTTCTGGCAACTGGCTTTGCTGGCAAAAGTCTTATTTTTAATATCAGGTCCTACCGGCGTTGTTTTCTAGCTACATCGCCTTCTTTGTGGTACGATTGAGAATTTCATTGTTGCTGTTGTTAGCCTGTTAGAGTATATCCACGTCCAGCAAGTTGAGACCTTGAGAAAGCTTGGCAGTCAAGCCGTGCACAGAACTGACTAATTAAATATTTGTTTGCTGTTAGGTTAAATAGAGAAACTGACTCTTAATTATATAAAAGTACCTTGAATTTTTAAGTTTAATTAAAAAGCAAAATGCACACTCTGCGGACATGTTCATGAGAATATAATTTTTTTGTGTAACAAAATCTACAACACTTGTCAATCATATTGCATGTTGTGTCTAAAAATAACATGTGGGCGTCCCATGGTCTAGACAGGTTTTGTGTCAGGCCTTATTACGGCCTGAACTTCAGGTTACATATGTAATGGCATTTATCCCAATTTGCAGCATTTGCGTCATCACATACGTTCAACTCGCAAAAGTCAGACTCCTCCAAGACAAATGGCTCAAAAGTTCGGCTGTTGAGGCTCTTCAAGGCGACCAAGATTTTGTCAACATCCTCTGCACAGTTACCAGATGACTGCTGAAGGATCGTTTTGTAGAAGAGCTTTCGGAAAGTTCTACAAAACTGCACTGCTGTAGGATTCTCTGCATTACCTCCCTGCTGACGGATGACCCGAAGAAAGTTTCAAGCCAATTCTTTTGTATAGAAACCTTAGACCATCTTTGGTCTGGAGCTAATTCCATAGTACAAGGGTTCCATTTATGGTAACTTGCAATACATTTAGATATGTTAAGGTGTTGGTCACATCTTTGGTAGCTAATGATACAAAACAAACTCCCCTGTTCCACATGCTGATGATGGAAGACTTCCAAGACTTGCATATGTTTCAATCGCTGCTGCTACCATATGGCTCAATCAATGCTTGAGCTGCAAATCTTACTTTCATTTTCTGAAAGCCATTAGGGTGCACATGTTGATATGTCAATTTCAGATATAATCGAATGGATAGTTTGCTATTGTGGCTGTTTCAACATCAGTCCATGATGCAACCTTGCCGAGAAAATGGAAGTCAATTGATCAGGTTGTTTCTTATAGCTTTTATAATTTGCGGTGGATCATACAGGTGAAAATTCTTCATACACTTGTGAAGGAAACATGGTTGTGTCGGTGTGATTACTAGCTCACTGCTGAATCTTCGGAAATTAAACCCCAATTCGGAAGTAACTGACAGAAATAAGTTCAATCAGCTGTTTTTTCACCTTGCCACCGTCATACAATTCATTAGAAAAGTAGTAGTTGTTGAAAAGAAGTAGTAGCCGAAATTGCCACAAGATTAGTTTTCTTGTCACTGTCATCCTGCAAGCCAATGATTTCATTCTTTATTGAGTGATAGTACAAATTTGCCTTGATCCAAGGCAATTGTGCATAGCTGGCTCACTTCACTGATAGTCTCACCTTTTTCTCTAACTTGAAGTGCTTCAACATTTAGCCCTTGGTTTATTTGACAGTCTTGATACCCACCACAGAAGGCTGGCCTTTGATGGTAGGTAAAACAATTTCGATATTTATTAAATTATTTTGAAATCAATGGTGTTTCCTGCAATTGGATCGGTGCACAAGAGTGCGATTTCAGCACAAATTGCACACCTAGCAGTGGAATTTGTGCTGAACTCACACCTTTCAACCAATCACATTAGAGTGCTGACTTCAGCCAACCAATCATTTTTAATCATAGGATTCAAACAGCCAATAAATTTTAAGAAAAATGTGATATGGAAAATGAGTAAAAACAAAAAATTTACACATGTCATGAATGATTTAAAATTAAGGTGGCTCCATACACTTTTCATCATCGGGGGACTGGTACCTAATCTTGAGTTTTCGTGTGAAAATATTAAAAATATATGCAAAAATAAATACAACTTTTTTCAGTCTAAAATCCTAACCACAAGTCATGTTTATTTTGATGTTTGAGTCTTCCTTGTTCTCATTTGTTCTTAAAGAACAAACTTCGTCCTGATTTAGCCCTGGACATTGAATAACTAGTCTTGTTAGAAGACATTTGAAGGTAAAAAATGCAATGTTCAATGATCAGTTCAAACTCTTGTGAAAACCAGTGATCGGTCCGACCGGCGAAAAGTGTTTTACTCCAATATTTGGTGATTTATAAGTTCATATATCCAGAGTTTTTTGTACTTACAACTGGTAAATGTATTCAAAGTGTTACTAACAGCAAAGGAATTCAGTGAAACAGCCATCCTGCACCAGCTCAAACTGTTTTAAATTGTCAACAACAACATGAAAACACACAAGTTACGACTGTAAACGAATATAAAACTATGTAGAGAAGCCAAAAAGTTCATACAATATCACACATATCTTATGCCAAACGACACTATCACCTGTTTTCTTGGCGTTATCCCCAGTTAGCATGCAAAACTAAAGATATTTGCATTTCTAAGCAAGAAAACACAACATATATTTCATATTTCCACGAGACTAAAAACTTTTTGTGTGTGTTTTTCTGGAGATGCGCCTGCGAAAAAATGTACGCGCATGTCAATTCATTGATCTTGCAGAGCTCGAAAAACTTTCGGCCGAGCGAGTGAGATACCACAATAAAACGGCGTAATTCAAAATTTTGAACAGTGACATGTGATGAAATTTTGCGCAACAATAACTTTTTTAAAACAAATAGAATATCAAAATTTTAATAAAATCTGTAGATTGGAAAACTCTCAATCTGCAATTTTTTTATTCTGGCTTTTCTAATCTACAGAATTTTTTTATTTTCAGGGATAAAGATTCAGCATTAAAAGTGATAAATATAAATAATAAAAACCTGCTTAAAATTGAAAAAAATACCATATTTGGCGAGACTACTGTTATGTTCAAGGATATTGCAAATTGTTTCTACCAAATACTTAATTTACATTCGGGAATGCTTAAAACTAATAGATGAAGTGATAAAATTTATAAATTGAAATTTTTATGCAATAATAAGGTATTTATACTACATAACTGTATGGAGCCACCTTAAGCATTTTTTTGCGGATAAAAACAAACAAATATGGATAGCTACCATAGAAATAATAGATATAGAATGTGTACTTGATCACGAATCATGTCTCCACTTTTTCTCATGCGTGCCCTTATAAATCCGCCATGTTGAATTTTGACTAGGAGTGCAAGTTCATTTGTTATTTCGCATAATTTTTTTTATATCTGCCTTTGGAAAACGATGTTTTACTAAAAAAAAACCAAAAAATATGCCAAATACGTGTTCAGCGTTGGGTTGTGCCAGTAGGTACAAACACAGCTACGATGCTAAACAAAGCAGAGAATCATTTTACCGGTAAGTAAATAAACCTTTTTCTCGCTTTTTATGGTTTTACAGTAATTTTATCGCTTGCGAGTTGTTGTGTTAATATTTAAAACTTTGCCGCGTTGAAAAATTAGCGCATTTATTCGAAAAAAGAAAACCCATTCACTCTCAAGCGAAATATAGATTTAACAAAAATAAAAATTAAGAAATTCCCATCTTATAAAAGCCAAAAACTTTAATTTTGTAACTCTTGTTGAGTTGTTGTTTTGTTTTGTTCTTGCTCGTTAATTGTCTACATGTAACTTGAACTTTGAACTTGGTTAATTGCAACTTGACCTTGTTGTTGATTGAATATTAATTTTGACCTTCATTGTTTCAAAATAGATTAACTTTTCACAACAAACTGTTTATATTTCGCTTAATTTTAACAGATTTCCTCACAAAAACCAGCAACTTTTGCCCAAATGGATCGAAGCCGTCGGAAGAGGAAACTGGTTCCCTTCAAAAACTGCCATGCTTTGCAGAAATCATTTTTGCAACGACGACTTTATTCTTTCTTCATATCCGACCAACAATTTGCAAAAAAAGATTTTGAAAAAAGATGCTGTACCCAGCATTTTTAAGGACGACGAAGGAAATATTACAAAAATTGATTGCGACGCTGTTGAGCACGATTTGTGCTTGCCTTTGAGTTCTCTTTCGATCAGTCAGGATTTATTTTAACAATCCTGAAACTAGAAACGAAAATATCCAAACGAGCAAATTAAAAGAACTCGTAAAAAAGAAAGACAAAAAAATCAGACGGCTCCAAAAAAAAGTTTTTAAGGCAAGCAAAAACCATAAAAGGTTTGATGGCGACTTTAGACCAAAAAAATCTAATCTTGAAAGAACTTGCCGAAGTTTTAGACAGCAATTTTGGACATATTGATGTCGAATTATTCAAAAATGAATTCAAGAACAACAACCTTAAGACCGGTTCGCGATATAGTAAAGACATCAGGGAATTCGCGATATCTCTAAACTTTTACAGTCCAAGAGCATATAAATTTGTACGCAAAACGCTACATTTACCGCATCCTGCTACACTTCGATCATGGGCAGGGAATGTTCCTTGCAAGCCAGGGTTCCTGACAAATTTCATAAAGAGTCTTACAAACAAATTACACCTTAGTGGAGAGAAAGAGTGTGCTTTGATCTTGGACGAAATGTCCATAAGAAAAGAAACGCGATGCGACAAAAAGCAGTCCAAATTTGTAGGCAATATCAACTATGGCGATGGGAGGTGAAGACCCTGAAAACATAGCAACAAATGTTTTGGTTATCATGGCAGTTGGCCTGAAGTCGCCTTGGCAAATGCCAATTGCATATTTCCTAACAAGCAAACAAATAGTGAGATTCAGGCACAACTAATTAAAGAGGCCATAATACTATTATTTCATGAAAACATAATAGTAAAATCAGTAACATTTGATGGGCCAACAAAAAATGTAGCCACAGCTCGAAAGAGCTTGGTTGTAATATCAATGATTTACAAGGTTCCTTTATCCATCCATGTAGACCATATTTAAAGGTCTATGTCATTTTGGACATTTGTCACATGCTGAAATTAGCCAGAAATGCTTTAGGAGATATGATAATTTTTTTAACTCCTACAGGCGAAACAATTTCATGGGATTTTATTAAAGCTTTGTATGATATTCAGCAGGGTGATATTTTGCATTTGGGAAACAAATTAAGGACCAAGCATATTCAGTGGCAAAAGCAGAAAATGAAAGTGTCTGTTGCTGCTCAAACCTTGAGCTCATCAGTAGCATGTGCAATTACATTTCTATGAGAAAATAATTATCCTAAATTTCACAACAGCAAAGCCACAAGTGACTTTATTTTACTTATGAATAATATTTTTGATATACTAAATTCAAAAAGTAAATTTGGCAGGCAATTCAAAGCCCCAATAACAAATGAAAATTATAATGAAAGGTATACCTACTTAAACGAAGGTATAAAACTATTATCATCTCTAAGTGACCTTAACGGCTTAAAGATCTAGAGAAAAGAAAAACCGACAAGATATTTTCTGATGTTCTTCAAGCAACTAAACCCTGCACATTTGATAAATTATTTGAACATTCTCGGCAGTGCCATATTTTAGATCAACATATGAGAGATGACCATATTTCTATACTTATAAGACATATAGTGAATTGTTATTTAAAGCTGTTTTTTTATCAGTTTGGACAGAGTCAATAGAAGGCAAGGGACTGGTCTGGAAACTGTTTATTCAGGCCAATTAAAACTCGGTCAAAAGTAGGTGCACATATTTGCAATGCAAATGGACGCAAGGACATCAACAAATTTCAGTGGCGAAGGGGATTTGTTAGATTTTGTCGATAAATTACTTGGTGGTAATAGCAATATAATCGAAGAAGTCGCAGAAGAAAATGATATTGCAATCGAAGAGGTAAGAATGTAAATTATTTTATTGTTTTAGTATTTCTACTACGCATTTATTAATAGTACTTTAATAGTGAAATGCAATCCCAAATTTATCAATCTTTATATAAAAAGATAAAATATTGCTAGATAATAATGATTTTATGTAACTGGTTAACTCTTTCCCGACAGGCTGGTTTCGCATTACATTTCGACAAGGGTGGGTAGTAGCGAAGTAGTTGTAGTTCTAGAACTACATTTTGACTAAAAGTAGCCAAATAGTTGACTACTTTTCAAACAGCGAATCGCTATTCGCTACTTTTTAAAATTGTTAGCAACCGTTCATAGAATAGAATGATATTAAGACACGGTTTGCTTAAAATATTATTTTATACAGTAAAGATTATTTTAGCGCAATGAAAAGTGGCACTCCTGAACAATGTAGTGCTTATAAAAATGTCGCTTTGACCCTTTTTGTTTACTGTTGCTACTCGTAAG